TTGCCAAACCTGACAAGCCCTTGCTTTTGGGTCATCGGGGGCAGCCGTTGACCTTCTATCACCCCATGGTCCTGTTGTTGCTTGTGAAGGGTCGTGTGCCTTTTTTCCTTCAATGGGGGCACAAGGAGCGTACGTACATGGTGCAACTGTTATGACCTGTGGCGTGGAGGCAGGCGGGGAAGAGAATGAGGCGCAAGGGCCTGAGCGCAGACAGATTTGCTTGGGAGGGTATATGCTGGAGGTCAAACTGCTGAGTTCATACCTTTGTGCCAGCAGAATCCTCTGGCATGCTCCGTGTGAGCCCGTAACCGAGGGGAAGGGCAGGGTGGACCAGGGGCAGCCGTCTGCTCTCCATAGGTAGGGCTCTGTTTGGGGCAGTTCAGCCTTTGGTCACTTCCCCTCCAGCTGCTGCCTTTTCCTTTGGCTTTACAGGCAGCGTTGTGTTGCCCAGGCCTCTGTGTGCATTTGTCTTTTAAGAGCTGGGTTTGTGTGGCATTCTTTCATCCCTCTCCTTTGGTTCACCTGAGCGATACCACTGTCTCTCGCAGGTCTGGCCGGCTACCTAGCCTTCCTCTTCTAGAGCCACAGGGCCCTCCCTCCAGGCCTGAAGCTGGACTTCTCAAACAAATCTAGCACTTTTTCTAAACACATCGAATAACCTCCTCCTCATCAGAGTATTGTAGGACTTCTTACAAGTCCCATGTTTTAAAAATTGGAAATATTGAAGTGCCATTAGGAAATGTACAGTTTCATCATTGTTCAGTTAGCATTTTTCTTTTGTCTTACAGAATGAAGTCCAGAATGAAAGTGTGTGTGTGTGGGTTGTGTGCGTGTGGGTTGTTTTTTTTAAAAAATGGAATTGCTTATTAAAATGTTTGAAGTATCAAGGCTTTGTCTTGTTTGTGGGAGTGCAGTAAGTGGGGACCATGACTCGTTACCTCTATTATAAAAAGGTGACCAAGTGTAAGGCTTATTTAGAAATGCAGCTAGGCTAACTGTAAACGGGATTTTTAAAAAATCTGGAGGCATATTTTTAAATGGAAAGAAAAAAAAACCCAAAGCAGGCACCCCTGAAGACTAATGCATGGTCTGCATAATGCTGTTCAAAGGGGATGAATTGGTTTGATCTCCCCTTGCTCCAGTGGTTTGCACTGCATTGAAGGAGGGCATACCTTGCTCCACTGCAGCTCTAGAGGAGGCTCCTCTTGGATGGGGTCTTACAGGGAGAGAGATTTATGGCTGGAACTGTCTTCTAATTACTATTTTTTTAAAATTTGATCAACACCCTTGGGATATTTGGGCCCGTTCACCAGAGTAGGTGGCCATGAATTGACCATGCCCATTACTTTTGGGAGTTGCTTGGCAACAGTTCTGTTAGGGATCTGGCTGCAGAGCGAGAGGTTGGGAGTTCAAATCCCCACTGTACATCCCAGAAGAGCCATCCTGTGTGGCCTTGGGTGAGCTGCACAGATCCAGGGCGCCTGCAGAGGAAGGTAAAGGTAAACCACCACTTCTGAGTACTCTTTTACCTAGAAAACCCTGGAGAAGGTCTCCGTAAGTTGGGATCGACTTGACTGCACAGAGTTATTTATAATTAATAAGCAAAGGTTTTGAAACAGAGCTCTTCTATCCAGATCCAGGTCTACAGCGCTTGTGTCCTGAGCACATGCCTGTCCTGCAGGGACTCCTGGACCCTTCATGCACGGCAGGAGAGGAAGCTGAACACGTTCCGTATGTGTTGCCTCCGACGCATTTTTGGTATCACCTGGCAGGACAAAGTTCCAAATAGAGTAGTTCTAGAACGAGCTGGAATTGTTAGCATGTATACATTTCTGAAACCAGCAACTTCTCCATTGGCTTGGGCATGTCGTGAGAATGGCTGACAGTCAGATTCCAAAAGATCTCCTGGATGGAGAATGAGTGTAGGGAAATCGCCCAAGAGGGAGACCACAGCTGCCATACAAGGATATCTGCAAGCGGGATCTGAAGGCCTTAGGAATGGAAACCTTGACCTCTGAGCGTTCAGCCTGGAGGCAGACATTGCATCACAGCCTCTCCCAATTTGAAGAGTCCCTTGTCCAGCAGGCCGAGGCAAAGAGGCAGTCCCGAAACCAGCCAAAGCAGGGAGCTGGATGGGGCAGATTGTAGTCTTCATTGTGGAAGGGATGGTCACTCTCAAATCGACCTTCTCAGCCACACTAGACGCTGTTCCAAGGCCTCTAGTCAGAGCATGTTAGCATAGTCCCTCAAGACTGAAGGATGCTTAACCAACTAATATATCCATAAATGAGGCTATGAGCCTGCGTTCTGGAAAAGACTCTTAGGAACACGCAAGCTTCAACATTACTGTATTAGGAGCCCAATGTTCTGTTAAAATAACCAGTTTAAGAGCTCATGTTGGGTCATGAATATGGGAGGGTTGACAGTACACAAACTACACGTTGCTTGATTGCTGCAGGTTTTTCGGGCTGTTTGGCCGTGTTCTAAAGGTTTTTCCTGAGAAAACCTCCAGAACACGGCCAAACAGCCTGAAATGCCTACACCCACCATCAGATCCCAGCTGTGAAAGCCTTCAAGAATACATTACACACATGTTGCTTGTTTGTGGTTATACATCGGCCATCCTATTACAGTATTAGGGATCGCTTTTCAGATCAGAATATCAAAATAAAGGTCACTGCCCTTTTGCTAGTCCCAGCTGGACTAGATCCTCTGAATCAATTGCTAAATAGACAGTAGACATGGGATACTGGCCAAAACCTTTCTGCAAGGACTCAACGTGCACACTTAAAACACTCCCAAATAGTGATGATCATGTTATGAATTCAGTTTACTGTATATATCTTTTCTAGCTTTTAAGCTCTTTGGCTGGAATCCCATTGCATATTTCCTTACACTTTGTGGCAGTGAATTGTAGGAACTTAAGAAATTGGCATCAGGATTTGGTATCACATGGACTCAATATGTAATAGCCAATGACTTGACCTGCAGCAGTTCACCGTTGAGGTTTTCTCCAGTGGAGCTGTAGCAGCCTAGTAACTGAGCTCAGTTCTCACCAATGTTTATGTGATCCGTAATGTTTTAGTGTAAAAATGAGATGCCATTCCATGACTGTATTTACATTTTAAATCACAATTCATTTTAGTGTAAAAATGAGCTGCCATTCCATGATGAAGTATTTACATTTTAAATCACTATTCATGAAGCTGCAATACAGTAGGACCCCCCCCCCCA